TTATGGGTGCTATTGGCTATATTATTGACGGATGTGGATTACACGATTTGTTCAGTGTTGCTTATGCTGTAGCTTCAACTGAAAAAATGTTGACTGGCCATGCATATTCAAGAGCTTTAAGAGCCCATATTTTAGTACATCTAGCTTTAGCCAAAATCGACTTATCTAAAATTAATTTTTCTGAAAAAGAGCACTTGGAAATGATTGATGTTCTAAGTGACGTCGGAAACACATATTTTATTGATAACATTGAAGCGTCTTCCAAAATCAGTAATATATTGAATATTTTTTCTAAGAAACTACTTGAGACAAATGGTACAACAGCAAAACTTTGGATTCAATATTTCCATATGATTACGTTGGTAAAACAGTTTATTCAATCGGAACGAAGTAGAAATTGGAATTTGCATTTACAATGTATACAAGACATGATGCCTTATTTTCATGCGAGTGGTCATTTTTTGTATGCAAAATCATGTCATCTTTATTTACAAGATATGCAAGAATTAAAGTCTAAATTGTCAAATCTAGATTATGAACGTTTCGTAACAAAAGGATATTTCACAATTAGACGATCTGACAAGTTTTGGTCTGGAATATGGTCAGACATGACGATCGAGCAGACTCTCATGAGGTCTATGAAAAGCAATGGTGGATCAACTCACGGAAGAGGTATAACTGAGGGTACTATGATCAAATGGATTAACTCAATGACTACTATGATAGACATTTCACAGCAAATAGAAAAATTTTGTGGCGCTTCATTTGCTACAACTGAACAGCATGTTGATGCCAGAACGTCACGGATATCTAGAGACACCATTGATGTAAACAAGTTTTTTTTATTGGTTTAAATCTCATGATCCTTTTATAAGTCAGAAAATGTGATGTCCATAAGTACTGGAGTTATAGGAGACAAAGAGATAAATTGCCATCTAGCATATGAAATAGGCATTGAATCAATGTCAAATGTAATTGGAAGTAATTTTGGACAAGTCAAGTTTCAGCGAAAAWATCGAGTGATGCCTCTACGAGGTTTTACTTCAAAAGTAAAAATTTACGATGAAGTGATTCCTGTTTGTCCTGATGTTATTTTTCGACGAATTTCATACATGAAAAAATCGGATGAAGAATTTAAGGAATATTTTGAATTTGAACTGGCTCCCTATCCTCTCTCACTATTCGATGAAAAAGGAATGCGGAAAGCTAAGAAATCAATTTTTTATGATTTGTTTAATCCTGTAACTGACTATAATTTTGAAAACGCTGTTTACGTAATAGATGGTGGTTTTATTTTACATAGAGTTGTTTGGCAAATAAAAGAAACATTTTCTTCAATTTTAAATAAGTACGTCATTATGTGAAACAATATTACAAAAATGGTGTCACTATTGTTTTCGATGGATATCCAGATGATGTAACTAAAAGTACCAAATCAGCAGACCGCTATCGAAGAGCGATTCGTCATGGAGCTGCAAATGTACATTTTGACGAGACAATGTGTGTAACTATGTCTCAAGAGCAATTCCTTTCCAATTATGCCAACAAAAAACGTCTTATTTTTTTTTTACGGGAAAAGCTTGAAAATGAAAATTTTATTGTGAAGCAAGTTATCGAGGATGCTGACACTTTAATTGTTCGTTGTACTATTGAGATTACCAATAGTGCAGAGTGTGTTGTTATGGTTGGCGAAGATACTGATCTTTTGGTTCTACTGACAGCTCTATCCCCTCCATCTTGTAAAAACATTTATTTTTTGAAACCAGGAAAAGGAAAATTGGACCATTTGCGTTATAGTGCTAACAATTTAAAATATTCAAAACATGTTAAAGATAACATATTGTTTCTCCATGCTTTCAGTGGATGTGACACAACTTCAGCTTTTTTTAGAAAAGGAAAAATACAATTCGTGAAATTGTTAGATAAAAAAAAAACGGATTGCAAGATATTGTTTCCATTTTCTTAGATTACAACGCTAATGCAAATGATATTGATGATGCTGGTCAACTTTTTATTACTAAGCTGTATGCAGATAAGTGTGTCGAAATGTTGTCATTGAATAAATTACGATATCAGCTTTTCGCAAAATCTTTAATGAAAAAGAGTTTCAATCTTGCTTCTTTACCTCCTACTCAAGCAGCTGCTCGTCAGCATTCTTTACGTACATATCACCAAATTCAAATGTGAATTGGAAATGAAAAAAATCCCCTAGATTGGAGTTGGAAGAATACAAAATACGGTCTTGTTCCAATTACCATGAACAAAGATCCGGCTCCACAATCAGTATTGGAAAAAGTTTCGTGTAATCCTTTCGATGCAGAGGATCGTGTAGTTGCCGAAAAATAGGAATGAATTGTTCAAATATTTGTTTTAACTGTCGGGGACAATCGTGCACTAACTGTTTAAAAGACGATCAAGAAGACCATTTAGAAACTGATGACGATTTTGAAAAAATGATTGAAAAATACTGTGAAACAGATGGAGAACATGAAGAACACGATAATAAAGAAGATCGACTAGAAGGGCAACAAGATGAAAATGATGATGAGAAAGACCAGATTGAAAAAAGAGACCAAGAAGATATTTATGGGCCTTTAACATCAAAAATATTGAAAACTAACTAATGCGGTGTGAATAAATTATCATTTATTTTTATTTCTGTATAATACAAAAAATGTAACTATATTTTAAATTTAAATTATTTTGTTCTAGAAAGAAGTAGATCAGAAAGAACAGTCGAAAAGGATAACATGGGCCATAACATAAACAATATATTCAATTAGTTTCACGCCAGACACCAGTCCAATTTAATTATTCGAACATAGAATATTTTAAATTAAATCATTTTGTGCAGTAAAAGTGTTTTATTTACATAGTAATCAAATAAATATCTAATAAATTAACCACAAATTAAGTTGTTATACTTATTACACTCAATCCATCTACCTAAACACCAGTCGTTTGTCCTCCTGTATGCTGGGACGCTACAAATTTGGCGCAGTCGGTAGGATTTTCCATCAACGGGAAGCTGAAAATTTTTTGTTTTCAACTTCACGGAGGCA